GAGTCATTAGTGTACTCGGATGCTAAGGGGCGTTGTGTATAGTAATTACCTGCGGCGTTCTATTATTATGTATCACGTGGAGCGATGAGTGTTCATTGTGATTGCTTATGTGGGGCGGCTAGTGTAAGGCAGTATATTTAATCTCTGCGGGAGCGTGCGCTATCCTACACTACTGTTATTATTTATTATTATTTTCATGTTTTTTATATTTTTTTGTTTGTTTGTTTGTTTGGGATCGGATGGGATGGGATGGGGTCGACAGCGATGGGATCGGATCGGATCCCATGAGATGGCATAGGATGGGATGGGATGGCATGGGGTGGCATGGGATAGGATGAGATGGGATGGCATGACATGGCATGGCATGACATGCGATGGATGGATTTATGGAGGGATGGCTGGATGGATGGATGGATACATAGATAGATAGATAGATTTTGCGGTATTTTCCTTTCAACCAAGTGGTCACCAACTGAGCACTTTTTCCCCTGCTCACTTATAGAATTGCGCTCTTTGTTTCTTCCCAAAATGTTTTTTTGTTTCTGTTTTCTTTTCAGTTGCATGAAATATTTAACTTCAACTGTGTCACTTACATGAAGTTTATATTTTAAGGCACGATTTGGTCCTTGTACGGGGTATTAGTCTGCTAACTAGTATATATAAAGTTGTTCAGCCAAATTAGTTTGTACTCGCATAACTAGATAACTCCGCAGCCTAGAGGAAAACTAAAGATATTTTCAGAATCAGCACGTCTGGGAAATGGTTCTGGCTAAAACAAAAATTTTAAAAAGTTAAAAAGTTAAAAATTCATAAAAATTCTATTCATCAATAGATGGCGGTGCGTACAGATTAACATCACGTACGTGTGAATCCATGGGGTATACCCTTAACGGCGCAGTGGCCTAATCGCTAGAACATCCATCTCCTACACCGGGATTTCGGGTTTGAGTCCCAGCTGGGGAATTTATTTTCCCCTTTTTTCCTTTTTTTCCTATTACCTACCTCTTTAGTATGTATTATTTTTAATTTTTTACTTTTTACTTTTTATTTTTTATATTTCATGTGTTTTATCTTTTGATTTCTTATTATTTTTTACTGTTTGGGATAGCATAGCATGGGATGGCATGGCATGGCATGGGATGCGGTGCGATGGGATGCAGTGTGATGGCATGGCATGGCATGGCATGAGATGGGATGGGATATGGGATGGGATGCGGTGCGATGGGATGGCATGGAATGGGATGGATGGATGGATGTATGGATAGATAGATAGTTGTATTTTTTGGGGTATTTTCTTTTCAACTAAGCGGTCACCAACTAAGTAACGCCACTGATTTCCCCGGGCAACGCTGGATATCTCGCTACTATATAATACTAATAGAGAAGGTGGGAAACTCCCTTACGCGATGTTTGTCGATCACTCCATCGCTTCTTTCAAATTTCGCAAACTTGTCAGGCCCCTACGGCCGCCATTTTTGGCTCGTTCTGCCCTTTATAGTCGACTGAACACAACTATATAACTACCGTGGCTGATAAGTGCAACCTTGCTTTGTATAATGTGACTTCAAACTTAGAAGTTTTGCGGTTTGTGTCGATTATCCAGGAATGTATATCGTTACCGAGTCTGAATGGCCCCGCGTCGGGCGCCGCGGAGCGCGATTGGACACTGGAGACAGCGAGATGACGCAATCTGCCTGCAGCCAATCACGCTCTGCGGCGGTCGCCCGCGGGGAAAGTGGGACTCATGAACGGTATACATTACTGGATGATCGGCACGAACCGCGAAACTTCTGTTTGAAGTCACATTACAAAGCAAGGTTGCACTTATCGGCCACGGTAGTTATATAGTTGTGTTCAGTCGACTATAGAGGGCAGAACGAGCCAAAAATGGTGGCCATAGGTGCCTGACAAGTTTGCGAAATTTGAAAGAAGCGAGGAGTGATCGACGAAAATCGCGTAAGGGAGTTTCCCATCTTCTCTATTATATATATATCGCTACAATGGCGACACAGCACACTCGAAGTGGCGAGTGCGGGATCGGCTAGTTCTGCATTAGTTTTTGTGAAAACAAGTTGATATACAGTGACACAACAGTGGAAGTGTAATTGAGGGGTAGTATTTGTGAATGTGCGTTCATATTATTTATTTTCAGTTTTTACTGACTCTGTCCCAAGTGCATGTGAACACAAGTATTGCCATCATTGGCACATTCCTAGTAACTAGTTCTCTAAATAGTATCGTACTTACTCTTGTGTTGCTGTTGGGTTACATTATTGTATCTAACTATTATTGTAACAACCGGGAGTGTTAAAAGGTACCCCATAACAAAGACATCAAGTAATGAATACAAACAGACACTTGAAACATTTCAAGACAATAGTAAAATGATTGTAAATAAAAACGAAATGTATTTACTACCAAAGTCTTAATGTTTCTCTACACTCTTTTGCCTATTATTGCTGATAATTTC